GAAATAAATTTTTTTTTGAATCATGATAAGAGATAAAAAATATAGTAGTAAAATTTCATATATATGACTAAGGCAATCGATAGATTTTATTAAAGGATGAAAGAAACGGTAACATAATTCTTTCTAATAGGTTAAATAAAAAGCATAATAAATTACTTGCCTTAAAGCGACAGCCATCAGATTTGATAAAATAGAAGTCGACACCACTAACAAGCCTTTTAGAATCAGGATCAAGTATATCTGTTGGCTGCATTGTAAAGAGCCAACCAACCTGATCTCCGGGTCCAGTAAAGGGTTCAAAGCCCATGCGGCGATCCATTGTGTCGCTCGATTTTGCTTGCTTAAGCCTGAATTCATTTGATTCATTCGAAGGAATGGAGAATTCACTTTCAAGAACATCCCCCAATGTCTTTGTTTCTGGGTTATCATGATGTGGCCCTTTTGATATCTCATTATTCCTTAACCTTTCAAAAAAAGGACGACGACTAGAACGTCCACGAAAAGGTCGACGATACGACATTCTAATAAATATTCAGTCTACGAAGAGGGCGTAGACAAGATAGTTAAATACAAACATACGAAAGAGAAAAAAAAACAAAATAAAATCTAAAATCTAAATGAAATTAATTAACAAAAATATTTATGGGAAAGTATATCGAGTTATACGCAGTATATTAGGTACAAGATAATAAATAAAATAAATAGAAAATAAGCAAAAGTAGGAGAAAATAGAAGGATAGAAAAATAGACAGAAATATTAATAAAAAATTGAAACATTATTATTAAACCGCAAAATTAATAAAAGGCAACAGTAATAAATGAACAAACCAGGTGGGATATATTTTTAAATATAGCAAATAAGCGTGCATATATTCATAAGCTGCTGGGATGTAAAATAAAATATAAAAAAAAGTTAAAATAAAATGTTTATTTTAATAATTTGTTTTATTATATTGATATTAATTGTAAAAAAATGATTATTAATAAAACAAAATTATATTTAACAAATTTATATTTTTTTAATGTAATATGTTTATTTTATAAAATATGTTTATTTGATAAAATATGTTTATTTATATTATTTAAAACAAATATCTTTTGTTAGAAAATTATGCAAATTTAGATCTTTTAATTTATCGTTATACTTGAATTTGTTTGAACGCATTAACTCCTTGCTCTTTAATATCGTGTCTTCCCTCAGGTCGGACATATTATCCTCCGCTCTTTTCCTGCTTATTCATCATGGAAACCGAATCTCCTCGTCGTAGCTCTCGTTTATCTTCCTCTCCTAAGGGCAAAGCAGATGGTGATATCGTATCTAGTGTATGCTATCGTTTTATTATTAAACTTTTAGACTGACAACCATAATAGTGCCTCAAATGGTGTGAGTGTTGCCAAACTGAATGGGAGTTCTAGCGCTGAGCCAATATTAAAGAAAGCAAAGTTACAAGATGGTACTGTGACTTATACATCTTATCCTTTAGTTGAGAGTAGTGAGGATTCACACGAAAATGGTGATAATAAAGTGGAAAATGAATCAGTCGAAAAGGATGAAGATCAAAGCGAATCATCCGAAGTAGATAAGAAAAGTGATGAT